GTTTCATGACCTCCTGTAGATACCAAAATCCATGGACGCTCAAGTCCCTGATATAAAATGGTGTGGTATTTGCATACAACCTACACACATCCTCCCCTAGACTTTAAATCATCTCTAGATTATTTATACCTAACACAGTGTAAATACTATGTAAATAGTTGTTATAAGGTATTGTTTAGGGAAGAAAAAGAAAAATCTGCTCATGTGCAGTACAGATGCTTTTTTTTTTTCCTGAATATTTTCAATCCGAGGTCTGTTGGATCCAAGGATTCAGAACCCATGAATACAGAGGGCCAACGGTATATATAATTTACATATGTCCACGTATTATTTACCCCACGAATTTTCCTCTTGACAGGGAAAATTCAACCAGTCCTACCAACTACTGTCCACTGTTCACTCTGGGGTGAACTTTGGTCAGGAAGCCTGTTCAGGCTACTGACGTCAGCCTTTCATTTCCAGTCCTCTTCAAAAAGCAACATAAAGACATCAGTTTTCAGAAGTGAGGTCCTAGAACCGCATCTATTTATTTATACCTTTGCTGTTTTCACAGCAGCAATATTAAGGCGTCTTTGAAAAGAGAAAGAGAATTTGGCTGTTTCCCTTAGTTTTCCAAGCAGTCCAGCAAACTACATGCATCCAATTTATTCGACAGTATAAAGAAATTATTGCTTCAGTAGCTTATTCAGTAAAGTTGTGAGTTTGTGTGAATAATCTTAAATCTATAAATATAATTACTTTGTCAAGTTAGCAGATCTTATTTGTGGAGTGTTTTATCATGTCACATAGAGGGGTACTATAACAATATGTAAAACAGGTCCTGTGTTTATAAACAAATGTTCAGATGGTTAAAAGAAAAAAAGATAACATAAGTATCCATTTTTTTTAAAAGAAAAAGTTTTACCAAGTGCCAGCTAAGCACAATATCCATGAATAATTCCAGTGATTTATTTTTCTTGGTAATTTATTTCACCCAGGGAGAATGAGGGAAGAGATACAATAGCAACACCTCTTTGGTTTGGACTAAGGTTTACATCTTTTTTCCCCCCTCAAATCAGTGCTTTGGCCTTCTTGGGGTGAATGGAGCAGGAAAGACCACTATATTCAAGATGCTGACTGGAGACATAATTCCTTCCAGTGGAAACATTCTGATCAGAAATAAGACTGGGTATGAAAACCTACTGCTTCAACTTACCGAGTGCAACATATTTAAATGAGAAAAATAATTAAAATGAACAGTTTAGATTCTTTTGTGGTTATATTATTAAATCCTCAGGGGAGGAAAAATACTATTAAAAGTGAGTGGAAATTTTTAAACCTTTAAGTGTGACTCTGATAGTGAGATTATTTTATCCTTTTTTATCAAAGTCACCAACTCCCATGACCAAAATAGAGCTACCTTCCCAACATTTGGGGGCCTGGAGAGATAAATCTTTTGAAACTCATCTGTGTTTTCAATCCTCTCATTCAGATCTCTGGGTCATGTTGACTCTCACAACTCATTAATTGGCTACTGTCCTCAAGAAGATGCCTTAGATGACCTGGTAACTGTGGAAGAACATTTGTATTTCTATGCCAGAGTACACGGAATTCCAGAAAAAGATATTAAAGAAGTAAGTACACATGTGAAAAACTGAGTACTGCGAAACCATTATTGTTTCTAGTTTCTTCTCCATATCATCCCCCCAAAACCAACTGGACAATGATGACATTTTCCTTCTGGCAATGACAATGAACCCATCCTAGCTTGTTGATGTATATTT